ACTAAAGGCACAGACCCACCCCCTTTATACTTATAGTGTCCCTATTTATGTGTATAGGGGGAGGGGTTAAGTCTGTACCTTGTCCCTGTGTACAGAGCCGCTAAAGGCACAGACCGACCCCCTATATACTAATAGTGTCACTGTTTATGTGTATAGGGTGGGGGTTAAGTCTGTACCTTGCCCCTGTGTACAGAGCGCACTAAAGGCACAGACCGACCCCCACCCCCTATATACTTATAGTGTCACTATTTATGTGTATAGGGTGGGGGTTAAGTCTGTGCCTTGTCCCTGTGTACAGAGAGCACTAAAGGCACAGACCGACCCCCTATATACTTATAGTGTCACTATTTATGTGCATAGGGTGGGGGTTCAAACTGTACCTTGCCCCTGTGTACAGAGCGCACTAAAGGCACAGACCAACCCCCACCCCCTATATACTTATAGTGTCACTATGTATGTGTATAGGGTGGGGGTTAAGTCTGTGCCTTGTCCCTGTGTACAGAGCGCACTAAAGGCACAGACCGACCCCCATCCCCTATATACTTATAGTGTCACTATTTATGTGTATAGGGTGGGGGTTAAGTCTGTGCCTTGTCCCTGTGTACAGAGCGCACTAAAGGCACAGACCGACCCCCACCCCCTATATACTTATAGTGTCACTATTTATGTGTATAGGGTGGGGGTTAAGTCTGTGCCTTGTCCCTGTGTACAGAGCGCACTAAAGGCACAGACCGACCCCCACCCCCTATATACTTATAGTGTCACTATTTATGTGTATAGGGTGGGGGTTAAGTCTGTGCCTTGTCCCTGTGTACAGAGCGCACTAAAGGCACAGACCGACCCCCATCCCCTATATACGTATTGTGTCACTATTTATGTGTATAAGGGTGGGGGTTAAGTCTGTGCCTTGTCCCTGTGTACAGAGCGCACTAAAGGCACAGACCGACCCCCATCCCCTATATACTTATAGTGTCACTATTTATGTGTATAGGGTGGGGGTTAAGTCTGTACCTTGCCCCTGTGTACAGAGCGCACTAAAGGCACTGACCGACCCCCACCCCCTATATACTTATGGTGTCGCTATTTATGTGTATAGGGGTGGGGGTTAAGTCTGTGCCTTGCCCCTGTGTACAGAGCGCACTAAAGGCACAGACCGACCCCCACCCCCTATATACTTAGAGTGTCACTTTTTATGTGTATAGGGGTGGGGGTTAAGTCTGTGCCTTGCCCCTGTGTACAGAGCGCACTAAAGGCACTGACCGACCCCCATCCCCTATATACTTATGGTGTCCCTATTTATGTGTATAGGGGTGGGGGTTAAGTCTGTGCCTTGCCCCTGTGTACAGAGCGCACTAAAGGCACAGACCGACCCCCACCCCCTATATACTTATGGTGTCACTTTTTATGTGTATAGGGGTGGGGGTTAAGTCTGTGCCTTGCCCCTGTGTACAGAGCGCACTAAAGGCACTGACCGACCCCCATCCCCTATATACTTATGGTGTCCCTATTTATGTGTATAGGGGTGGGGGTTAAGTCTGTGCCTTGCCCCTGTGTACAGAGCGCACTAAAGGCACTGACCGACCCCCATCCCCTATATACTTATGGTGTCGCTATTTATGTGTATAGGGGTGGGGGTTAAGTCTGTGCCTTGCCCCTGTGTACAGAGCGCACTAAAGGCACAGACCGACCCCCACCCCCTATATACTTAGAGTGTCACTTTTTATGTGTATAGGGGTGGGGGTTAAGTCTGTACCTTGCCCCTGTGTACAGAGCGCACTAAAGGCACTGACCGACCCCCATCCCCTATATACTTATGGTGTCGCTATTTATGTGTATAGGGGTGGGGGTTAAGTCTGTGCCTTGCCCCTGTGTACAGAGCGCACTAAAGGCACAGACCGACCCCCACCCCCTATATACTTAGAGTGTCACTTTTTATGTGTATAGGGGTGGGGGTTAAGTCTGTGCCTTGCCCCTGTGTACAGAGCGCACTAAAGGCACTGACCGACCCCCATCCCCTATATACTTATGGTGTCCCTATTTATGTGTATAGGGGTGGGGGTTAAGTCTGTGCCTTGCCCCTGTGTACAGAGCGCACTAAAGGCACTGACTGACCCCCATCCCCTATATACTTAAAGTGTCACTATTTAGGTGTATAGGAGTGGGGTTAAGTCTGTGCCTTGCCCCTGTGTACAGAGCGCACTAAAGGTACTGACCGACCCCCACCCCCTATATTTGTGTATAGGGGTGGGGATTATGTAGACGAAGAAGACAGTAGTATTTATTTAGAAAATCTGAAAAACAAATCATCGCATTTTCTAAATTACGGACAGTTCAATTCAAATCGAAGTAATGACAACTGAAAAATGTACAGCCCCCAGTTAATGTGGAAGGGACTATAATTTCTTTTATTCATAAGTTTTTCGACAGTCGTCCAATCTATTTTTGTTTTACCAGTGACTACCTCACTATTGACAACTTTTGGTCGCTCGAGCAAGACTTTAACCGCCATTGGCGAGCAGGCGACCGTCCATTTACGGCACTGCTGCACAACAATGGCTAACAATCCCTCCATCCGTATTTAGTCATGGATGCCCTTGGCCCAGACATGCCATTGTAGTATATAGGATCCCTTCACCCAAACATAACTACTGTAGTGTTAATAACCCCGATTTCACTTGTAAGCCCGACCCTGTGCCACTATCCCTCATTTATTTAACTTTGAGTTCTCTTGGCCAAGGACTGTTCCAAAGTCAGCCGTTGTGGACTTCAGGTAGTAATCTTTTTATAGAAAAGTTGACGAGCCACAGTTGACAAGCAATGGGTTCATCATCTTCGTAAGTTGATTTTAACTTTGGGCCAGTAAAGCTAATAAACCACAGCCACAGTGTTGGGTTTGAAATGCTTTATATTTTCTGTGATGCAATTATAAGTAAATAAACTAACATGTGTATGTTTGTTGCATTTTTCCTCAATGAAAATAACTTTCTGGTTTAGTTAATCAACAAAAGACAACATTTAATGGGTTATAGTAGAAACTCCTGGCATTTCATAACACAGTCTTAATCCTATCTCATTTCATAATTTCAAAACTACACTTGATAAACCTGGTGTAATTTTGCAATACAAAAAAAAAACAGTTATTCAAGTTAGATAAACAATGATGAACAACTGTCACCTGTTGTGAAATCAACATGAAAATAACAAGAGGTCCAATGGGCTTGCATCGCTCACCTAGTATTAATCGAACAATCGTTACCTTAAAAGTGAACTAAAATAAAGCTACAGGCAAAATATCAGTGTCTTGACTTAAAGTCAATCGAAAGAACCTGTTAAACGAATTATACTTATTTGACCCCTGTGACATTGAAAGTCAAACATGGACATTAAGTTGAACAAACTGTATAGCCCTTCATCCTAGAATGCAAATTGCCAAATATCACTGCCCTATACCTTTTGTTTATTGAGAAGATGACTTTTAAAGAGTAATATGAACAGTTGACAATCACCCTGGAAGTTTTGGTTATTCAGAAGATGCTTTTTAAATGTGTTAAAGACAATTGACAGCTATGACTTGAATATGGGCGAAGGTCATTCATTTAAACAAATTTGGAGGCCGTTTATCCCAACATGATTCTGGCCAAATATCACCACCCTAAGTGTTTTATAGTGTTTTAAGACAACTGACCGGAGACCTTGAATATCAGCGAAGGTCATTCATTTGAACAATTGCAACTTGGCAGCCCTTCATCCCAGCATGCTTCTGGCCAAATATCACCACCCTATTCAGAAGAAGTTGTTTTATAGTTTCTTTAAGACAACTGACCCGAGACCTTGAATATCAGCGAAGGTCATTCATTTGAACAAACATGGTAGGCCCTTCATCCCAACATGCTTCTGGCCAAATATCACCACCCTATACAGAAAAAGTTGTTTTATAGTGTTTTTAAGACAACTGACTCGTGACCTTGAATATCGTATCGGCGAAGGTCATTCATTTGAACAAACTTGGTACCGGCCAAATATTATCACCCTAGGCATAAGGCAAAAAATTGACACCGGACGGATGACTGATGCAGCACCACGGCATAAGCTCACTTAGCCCTTCGGGTCTAGTCGGGCCAGTTGAGCTCAGCTAACAATAAACTATAGTAGGACTGGCAAGAATATACTGTATGTTGGTTACATGATTTTTATCGTCATCATATTATATCCATTATAGATCTACTTATGATTCCTTTTCCAAACAATTATTAATCATATCTTTATAAATGTAGGTCCAAGATCTTTTTCTGTAATTGATGAACAATCTGGATCACCTGATAATGAGTTGACTGACCAGAATTTTCTTGAGATCAGCCAGAACAGCATAGGACAAGTATTATTGTAGCCATTTATACAAATATCTCATACACATTAGCTACTCTCAAGTGCTGTTCATACTTAAGGCCTGGGTACAAATTAACCTCTCACAGGCCTGCATGTAATAATAATAATATACAACATTTGATATAGCGCCCTATCCAGCTAACATTAGCCACTCTAAAGCGCTTTACAGTACAAAGATATACAATTAATACAATTAGGATATACAATTTTTGCCTCATCAGACGCTAACTACTAGTCCTATGCCACCTGGCTGGTATCTCCCTATGTGTGTGCTGGAGATGTATTTTGTTCTGTTTGTAGTGGAAACGTGCTTTCAACGGCATCATTTATAGTGCCACCTCACTTGAATGCTACATCACAGATACCGCAACATCCACCCCAGACCATTTTATACTCCACCTGGGTTGTTGGAGTTGAGAAGACCATGTACTTGGGAAGACCTTTTCCCTAGGGAGGTATAGAATAATATGTTTCAAATTTGTGGTTAGAGCAGTAATATAGAAGTCATTAGTCCCAGAATCTGTAGCGTTACTTCTTTAATGAACTATCTTTTATAAGAGGAAGGTTTCTCATATTTTACCTTTAACCCAGGTAAGAATCTTGTAAACACAGAATCAGATACCACAAAGACATTAGACCTTCATGATTTATTCAAACAAAACATACAGCCATTCATGTTTGAAGAGTTTAAAAGAAAATGCCATGCTTTGGATAGGACAAGCGGTTAGTTTATATGTTATTTGATAGTGAAAAATAATCAGGTGCTTTCATACTTTGCATCAAAAGTGAATTATTGTCAAAAAACAGCAGGACTTCATCCATAAAATGCATCTGAAAGACATTATTGAAAAGGGTGTTGGTTGGGTATAGCTGTTAAAACCTTGTAAAATGTAACTGTTTCTAACACACGGGTACTATTCTATCATTTCAGCTCCCTCCCCACCAGTAGCATCTTCTTCAATATGTAGGTCATCAAGCATCTCTTGGAGACTGATCTGAGGCAGGTCTTCATCATCAGTGTCATCTGCATCAACAGCAATCTTACTGTTGTCTGAAAATGAATGTATATCTAACATTAGAGACATCAATTCATCAAAAAAGCTGGTCTCAATATTCCATACACCCTATGCTATATTTGTGGGCTCTGTACATCCTATGCTATATTTGTGGGATCTGTACACCCTATGCTATATTTATGGGCTCTGTACACCCTATGCTATATTTGTGGGGATCTTTACACCCTATGTTATCTTTGTGGGCTCTGTACACCCTATGTTATCTTTGTGGGGATCTGTACACCCTATGCTATATTTGTGGGGACCTTTACACCCTATGCTATATTTGTGGGCTCTTTACACCCTAGGCTATCTTTGTGGGATCTGTACACCCTATGCTATATTTGTGGGCTCTGTACACCCTATGTTATCTTTGTGGGATCTGTACACCCTATGCTATATTTTTGGGCTCTTTACACCCTATGCCATCCTTGTGGGGATCTGTACACCCTATGCTATATTTGTGGGGATCTGTACACCCTATGCTATCTTTGTTGGGCTCTGTACACCCTATGCTACCTTTGTGGGATCTGTACACCCTATGCTATCATTGTGGGCTCTGTACACCCTATGTTATCTTTGTGTGATCTGTACACCCTATGCTATATTGGTGGGCTCTGTACACCCTATGCTAGATTTGTGGGGATCTTTACCCCCATGCTATATTTGTGGGGATCTGTCCACCCTATGTTATCTTTGTGGGCTCTGTACTCCCTATGCTATATTTGTGGGGATCTGTACACCCTATGCTATATTTGTGGGCTCTGTACACCCTATGCTATATTTGTGGACTCTGTACACCCTATGTTATCTTTGTGGGCTCTGTACACCCTATGCTATATTTGTGGGGATCTTTACCCCCATGCTATATTTGTGGGGATCTGTACACCCTATGTTATCTTTGTGGGCTCTGTACACCCTATGCTATATTTGTGGGGATCTTTACCCCTATGCTATATTTGTGGGGATCTGTACACCATGTTATCTTTGTGGGCTCTGTACACCCTATGCTATATTTGCAGGTATCTGTACACCCTATGCTATATTTGTGGGGATGTTTACCCCTATGCTATATTTGTGGGCTCTGTACATCCTTAGTTATATTTGTTGGCTCTGTACACCCTATGTTATCTTTGTGGGCTCCGTACACCCTATGTTATCTTTGTGGGCTCTGTACACCCTATGTTATATTTGTGAGCTTTGTACACCCCATGTTATCTTTGTGGGCTCTGTACACCCCATGTTATCTTTGTGGGCTCTGTACTCCCTATGTTATATTTGTGAGCTCTGTACACCCCATGTTATCTTTGTGGGCTCTGTACACCCCATGTTATCTTTGTGGGCTCTGTACTCCCTATGTTATATTTGTGAGCTCTGTACACCCTATGTTATCTTTGTGGGCTCTGTACACCCCATGTTATCTTTGTGGGCTCTGTACACCCTATGTTATATTTGTGGGGATCTTTACCCCTATGCTATATTTGTGGGGATCTGTACACACTATGCTATATTTGTGGGGATCTTTACACCCTATGTTATCTTTGTGGGCTCTGTACGCCCTATGTTATATTTGTGAGCTCTGTACACCCCATGTTATCTTTGTGGGCTCTGTACACCCTATGTTATCTTTGTGGGCTCTGCACACCCTATGTTATCTTTGTGGGCTCTGTACACCCCATGTTTTCTTTGTGGGCTCTGTACACCCTATGCTATATTTGTGAGCTCTGTACACCCTATGTTATATTTGTGAGCTCTGTACACCCCATGTTATCTTTGTGGGCTCTGTACACCCAATGCTATATTTGTGAGATCTGTACACCCCATGTTATCTTTGTGGGCTCTGTACACCCTATGTTATATTTGTGAGCTCTGTACACCCTATGCTATATTTGCAGTGATCTGTACACCCTATGCTATATGTGTGGGCTCTGTACACCCTATGTTATCTTTGTGGGCTCTGTACACCCTATGTTATATTTGTGTGCTCTGTACACCCTATGCTATCTTTGTGGGCTTTGTAAACCCTATGCTATATTTGTGGGGATCTGTACACCCTATGCTATCTTTGTGGGCTCTGTACGCCCTATGCTATCTTTGTGGGCTTTGTAAACCCTATGCTATATTTGTGGGGATCTGTACACCCTATGCTATCTTTGTGGGATCTGTACACCCTATGCTATCTTTGTGGGCTCTTTACACCCTATGCTATCTTTGTGGGGATCTGTTCACCCTATGCTATCTTTGTGGGGATCTGTACACCCTATGCTATCTTTGTGGGCTCTGTACACCCTATGCTATCTTTGTGGGATCTGTACATCCTTTGCTATTTATGTAGGGATTTTCCTTCGCTCTGGTATCTGGCAGAGTTTAGACTTTAGTGTAAATGTGAATCTCCTTTAATTTTCGATTTTCATTTCAAAACATGATCTTAGGTGAAATAGGATATTGTTAATAAGGACTGTTCTATTACATCATGGCAATATACATGATATCCTTTGGCAGTTAGGCCCCAATGATATTGGGGTCTGATCTCCCGAATCAAATTATTTACATTGTTTCTGAGCACTAATCAACTACCTTTATAGATGTTGACACCTTGGCGGTAATTTGCATCTTCTTCCAAGTCTTCCAAAAAGTCATTGTAATCCCTGAAATAAAAACAATGGTAATGATGCATGAAAACCACTAACAGTAAACCTGTGTTAAGTAGTCACCTACGGGAGATCATGACACTGGCTGCTTAATCAATGTGCCAGTCAAGACCTAATACAAAATATTTTAGAACACATATGAACAAGTTTATAATGAGCAAAATTCTTTTAAATAACCGACTCGGCTAGGGAAAATTTCTCTTTAGCTCATTCAGTTGACCCTAAAACTAGCAAACTAGCATAGGTTTGACTCCTAAAAAATAACTATTCCTGTATTAGTAATCAATTACAGCAAAATGTTGACAAGTTTGCTTAATATCAGAGACAGTGTAGTTAATGACAACCTTTTTTAGAATTGTCATTTCTAAACAAGAAAATTTTGTCTCTGTAAAAACAACTCTAGCAATTTTTTTTTTTAATAATAACATAAGGTGTTTATCATCCAGTCAATGTTTACAGTCATCACACCTTGCCCCCAGGCTAATTTGTCTGTTACACTGGTTAAATGTTTCGGTTCTTCATTTCACCTGTCATTGCTTCAATCTCACCTGTAACTGCTTCAATCTCACTTGTCATTGCTTCAATCTAACCTGTCAATGCCTCAGTCTCACCTGTCATTGCTTCAATCTCACCTGTCATCACTTCAATATCATTTGTCATTGCTTCAATCTCGCCTGTCAATGCCTCAGTCTCACCTGTCATTGCTTCAATCTCACTTGTCATTGCTTTAATCTAACCTGTCATTGCTTTAATCTCACCTGTCATTGCTTTTGTCTCACTTGTCATTGCATCATTCTCTACTGTCATCGATTCAATCTCACTTGTCATTGCATCATTCTCACCTGTCATCGATTCAATCTCAATTGTCACTGTTTCCGTCTCACCTGTCATTGCTTTAGTGTCACCTGCCATTGCTTTAATCTTACCTGTCATTGGTTAAATCTCACCTTTCATTGCTTTAATCTCACCTGTCATTGGTTAAATCTCACCTGTCATTACTTTAATCTCTCACCTATCATTGGTTCAATCTCACTAGTCATTGCTTCAGTCTCACCTGTCATTGCTTCAGTCTCACCTGTCATTGTTTTAATTTCTCCTGTCATTGTTTTAATCTCACCTATCATTGTTTTAATCTCACCTGTCATTGCTTCAGTCTTATCTGTCAATGTTTTAATCTCATCTGTCATTGCTTCAGTCTCATCTGTCATTGTTTTAATCTCACCTGTCATTGCCTCAGTCTCATCTGTCATTGTTTTAATCTCATCTGTCATTGTTTTAATCTCATCTGTCAATGCTTCAGTCTCATCTGTCAGTTTTAACTCATTCACCCCTGAAATTTCAAAATGAACTATTAAAACCTTTGAAATGGAAGAGTTCAAATGTGTCTTCAGGGTTGAATGAGTTAATCTCACCTGTCATTGTTTTAATCTCACCTGTCATTGCTTCAGTCTCACCTGTCATTGTTTTAATCTCACCTGTCATTGCTTCAGTCTCACCTGTCATTGTTTTAATCTCACCTGTCATTGCTTGCTGTTTCTTCATGGAGATGTCTCAGTTTCCATCGCCTCTTTTTGTTCCTCTGTGTCTTGTCCCCAAACACCTTCCTGACAATCACCTTCAAGATTTCACAAGCAAAGTGTAATTGTTTTACTGAAGAAATTGTTTTAATCAAAAGTATCAAACAAGCACTATCGTCCCTTAACTCAATCATCCCTGAAATTTCAAAATGAATTATTCCAACCTTTGAATTAGAAGAGCTCAAATGAGTCTTCAGTGGTAAATGAGTTAATGAGACAACCAATCACAACCTGATTCTTTTCTCTATCTGTTGGACTGAGCCATGTAACCTGACGGTAACAGACCTCTATTGTCTAGCCCTGTCCTACACATAACTTGTCTCTGACTACGTGATAATCTCTATTGTCTAGCCCTGTCCTACACAAAACTTGTCTCTGACTACCAGATAACCTCTATTGTCTAGCCCTGTCCTACACATAACTTGTCTCTGACTACCAGATAACCTCTATCGTCTAGCCTTGTCCTACACATAACTTGTCTCTGACTACCAGGTAACCTCTATTGTCTAGCCCTGTCCTACACATAACTTGTCTCTGACTACCAGATAACCTCTATTGTCTAGCCCTGTCCTACACATAACTTGTCTCTGACTACCAGATAACCTCTATTGTCTAGCCCTGTCCTACACATAACTTGTCTCTGACTACCAGATAACCTCTATTGTCTAGCCCTGTCCTACACATAACTTGTCTCTGACTACCAGATAACCTCTATTGTCTAGCCCTGTCCTACACATAACTTGTCTCTGACTACCAGATAACCTCTATTGTCTAGCCCTGTCCTACACATAACTTGTCTCTGACTACCAGATAACCTCTATTGTCTAGCCCTGTCCTACACATAACTTGTCTCTGACTACCAGATAACCTCTATTGTCTAGCCCTGTCCTACACATAACTTGTCTCTGACTACCAGATAACCTCTATTGTCTAGCCCTGTCCTACACATAACTTGTCTCTGACTACCAGATAACCTCTATTGTCTAGCCCTGTCCTACACATAACTTGTCTCTGACTACCAGATAACCTCTATTGTCTAGCCCTGTCCTACACATAACTTGTCTCTGACTACCAGATAACCTCTATTGTCTAGCCCTGTCCTACACATAACTTGTCTCTGACTACCAGATAACCTCTATTGTCTAGCCCTGTCCTACACATAACTTGTCTCTGACTACCAGATAACCTCTATTGTCTAGCCCTGTCCTACACATAACTTGTCTCTGACTACCAGATAACCTCTATTGTCTAGCCCTGTCCTACACATAACTTGTATCTGACTACCAGATAATCTCTATTGTCTAGCCCTGTCCTACACATAACTTGTCTCTGAATACCAGGCTACCTCTATCGTCTAGCCCTGTCCTACACATAACTTGTCTCTGACTACCAGATAACCTCTATTGTCTAGCCCTGTCCTACACATAACTTGTCTCTGACTACCAGGTAACCTCTATTGTCTAGCCATGTCCTACACATACAATGAAACTCTTCAAAATTTGCCTGTAAAATCAGATTTTATCCAGACATCTTACATTAAACTTTGAAGCGATGTAATGTTTGGCCTTGTTAATATACTTACAACATCTGGCACTTTTTCGGGTTTAATGTTCTCAAGCTCACGATTGTTGATGTTGGCATTGGTGAAATCAAATCTGTAACAAAGGCATGAAGATTTTGACACACCAATACGTAATACTTAATACTCACTTGTATTAATAATGCATTTTCCCGTTGTTTCTTCTCTTTAAAGAACAGAAGTGGTGGTGGTAGGTGTTTGGGGGAAGACAGCTTACACAGATAGATATATTTTAGATACGCTATAGAGAATGTAGGACAGCTGTTACCTACCCAAGTACTACATCGTAACTATAGAGAATGTAGGACAGCTGTTACCTACCCAAGTACTACATCGTAACTATAGAGAATGTAGGACAGCTGTTACCTACCCAAGTACTACATCGTAACTATAGAGAATGTAGGACAGCTGTTACCTACCCAAGTACTACATCGTAACTATAGAGAATGTAGGACAGCTGTTACCTACCCAAGTACTACATCGTAACTATAGAGAATGTAGGACAGCTGTTACCTACCCAAGTACTACATCGTAACTATAGAGAATGTAGGACAGCTGTTACCTACCCAAGTACTACATCGTAACTATAGAGAATGTAGGACAGCTGTTACCTACCCAAGTACTACATCGTAACTATAGAGAATGTAGGACAGCTGTTACCTACCCAAGTACTACATCGTAACTATAGAGAATGTAGGACAGCTGTTACCTACCCAAGTACTACATCGTAACTATAGAGAATGTAGGACAGCTGTTACCTACCCAAGTACTACATCGTAACTATAGAGAATGTAGGACAGCTGTTACCTACCCAAGTACTACATCGTAACTATAGAGAATGTAGGACAGCTGTTACCTACCCAAGTACTACATCGTAACTATAGAGAATGTAGGACAGCTGTTACCTACCCAAGTACTACATCGTAACTATAGAGAATGTAGGACAGCTGTTACCTACCCAAGTACTACATGGTAACTATAGAGAATGTAGGATAGCTGTTACCTACCCAAGTACTACATCGTAACTATAGAGAATGTAGGACAGCTGTTACCTACCCAAGTACTACATCGTAACTATAGAGAATGTAGGACAGCTGTTACCTACCCAAGTACTACATCGTAACTATAGAGAATGTAGGACAGCTGTTACCTACCCAAGTACTACATCGTAACTATAGAGAATGTAGGACAGCTGTTACCTACCCAAGTACTACATCGTAACTATAGAGAATGTAGGACAGCTGTTACCTACCCAAGTACTACATCGTAACTATAGAGAATGTAGGACAGCTGTTACCTACCCAAGTACTACATCGTAACTATAGAGAATGTAGGACAGCTGTTACCTACCCAAGTACTACATCGTAACTATAGAGAATGTAGGACAGCTGTTACCTACCCAAGTACTACATCGTAACTATAGAGAATGTAGGACAGCTGTTACCTACCCAAGTACTACATCGTAACTATAGAGAATGTAGGACAGCTGTTACCTACCCAAGTACTACATCGTAACTATAGAGAATGTAGGACAGCTGTTACCTACCCAAGTACTACATCGTAACTATAGAGAATGTAGGACAGCTGTTACCTACCCAAGTACTACATCGTAACTATAGAGAATGTAGGACAGCTGTTACCTACCCAAGTACTACATCGTAACTATAGAGAATGTAGGACAGCTGTTACCTACCCAAGTACTACATCGTAACTATAGAGAATGTAGGACAGCTGTTACCTACCCAAGTACTACATCGTAACTATAGAGAATGTAGGACAGCTGTTACCTACCCAAGTACTACATCGTAACTATAGAGAATGTAGGACAGCTGTTACCTACCCAAGTACTACATCGTAACTATAGAGAATGTAGGACAGCTGTTACCTACCCAAGTACTACATCGTAACTATAGAGAATGTAGGACAGCTGTTACCTACCCAAGTACTACATCGTAACTATAGAGAATGTAGGACAGCTGTTACCTACCCAAGTACTACATCTCCTGCACTCAGCAGATGACCAAGGAATGTACGACAGAAATGCTGTTGGTCACTCAGTCCAGCGTTGGTCATTCTAGCCACCCACACATCAGCCAGGACATGCTGGAACACAGAACAGACACACGTACAGTTAAGTCATGAAGGCAAATATTATCATGTTATAAGGTAACTGCTGTAATGAATTTGGGGAGAGTTATCTCCCTTTACCGCCCGACACCATTGATGCGACATCTCGGCGCTGTCTCTTTACATCCTTATCTCAACAAGAACACAAGTGAGTGAATTCCCTCCACCTTCTAACAGATTTTAGGACCTGAGAGCACTACATGGTGTGACGGTGTGTGACAGCACACCACATTTACTACACTGCCCTTTTACTTCCATTTGTAATCTTGACTTTACGAAAACGATCCTAAAAGATGATACAGGGCGAGCCACTCATGATTATATAATTATATTCCATTTGTAAGTTTTTGTGCTAAATGTATTGATGTTACTGGTCTGAAAAGAGACATGGAGGAACCAATGCAGAGCTACATCTGTACCACCTGTACAGACAGGCCTATACAAACCTCACCTTATTCGACACAGGAAAGTGTCGCTTACTCTGCTCCTTTTCCGGTATGAAGTCTACCTGCATGACCATGAACTCCACTAACTGTTTGGGTGAACACAGACTGCTAAATGGCCACCTGTAGAACAAGGCTCCACTGATCTCAGCAACTGTACAGTACAAAAAAAACCCCAACATTTTACTACTGATCTCAGCAACTGTACAGTACAAACAAGCTCAACATTTTACCAAAATTGTCAGTTTTTACATCTGTTAGACTTCATTTAACTCAATCACTTATTATATCTGCTCAGTAACACCAATAATAGAAAACATGCAGCACACGAAATGTCAACAAAATCTATACCTACATGATAACAATGTAGAACTTGAGTAACACATGAATACGCCCAAACCTTTGGACTAACCTTAGGTTGTAAACTTATATCGATCACATTGAAGAATAAAAGAAATGGTTGAAAACTATCTTAGTACTGGTAAAGTGAACAAAGTTCCATTGAATTTATGAGAATCAAAACTGATGCCATAAAAAGTATTAACCCTTTCACCCCTGTGTAACTTTAATAGACTCTACCATGTATTGATATGGATGAGTCCATTATGGTCTACAGTGGTGAAAGGGTTAAAATGGGGAAAGGAAGATAATCAACAATGCCTACTTATATCTAGGGACACATCACTGAACAGAAAAGAGTAGGTAACAAAGAAATCAAAGGAGAGAAATCAAAAGGATTATTTTGTCTCTTCATTGTCCCAAAAGAAAGCTAAAGACACAGAAGAAACTTACACTTAAGTTCACTGAAACCAATCATGTATCAAACAGCTTTGGGATGGGGCGAGTATTAGGCCTTATCCCTCTAAAGCTTCTCGAACTTTGTTGCGGAGTATAATTAACAAGTATAGATAAGGGTCAAAAGGGGCGTAAGAAATATCTTTCTCTCCCTGTGTGTAAGATAGAGCTGTCCAGGGTAAGAAAGGGGTGTTGGAAATTTCTATCTTACACCCCATTTCATGTGACATGACGTCACAAAGGCTTGACAATCAATGACATGACGTCACGAATTTGGAATTCTCCTATGCCGCAATGCAGAAAAGGCGACGTGATGAAATTAAAAACCTTTTACGATATATGCTTAATCCTGCTGGCTGATTTGTTTTCGTCTAAAAAGCTCGGGGGGGGGGGATTGATTTTTTCAAAATGGTGACCAGTCCAAATGCATTTTCATGTTTTTTGAGCTTATTCTGGTGGTTTGAATGAGAGATAAATATTCTTTCATACCCAGGGGTGTAGGATAGAGAAATTCCACCCTCAGGATTTTCAAATTTGGCAAAACCCTCAGCTTTAAATTTGAAAACCATGCAGGTGGAATTTCCCTATCCTACACCCCTGAGCATGAAAGAGTCTTATAATCTTACACCCCATTTCTTGTGATGAAACGTCACAATTGCTCAACATTAATGACGAGACATCAAGAATTTGGAAAAGTCTGTTGCCGCAATGTGGAAGATCGAGGCGACGTGATGAAAATAAACCCTTTTACAATATTTTGACCGTACAAGTTATAAAGATGAGATTATTTTTTCTGTGCTATGATTGCAGATATGGAGTATGCTTAATCTCGCTGACAGATTCGTTTTCATCAAAAATGCTAAGTGGATGAGGATATTTTCAAAATGGTAGCCAGTCCAAACGATTTTCATGGTTTCCGATCTTATGCAGTAGTTGCCAGGGGAGCAGGATAGGGAAATTCCACCAGTTTCCTATTCTACAACTCTGGGCATGAAAGATTCTTATATTGTTTTAAGAAATTGTTAATGTCTTGTCAAAAATAACCCAGATTTGATCTAGAATGGGATGACAATACAGGCCTTTAGTGATCTGTACCTACCCTGTAGTGTGTTTGGGTCAATGATATGGATAGCCTGAGTGACTTTATTACAGACACAGATAGGGTTGATGTTTCCTAGTGACTGAGCCAGCTTCTGTGGGAGGCATACCACATTGTCCTACAAAGAAACAGATGAGATATCATCAGCATTTATCAGGTGTAACTAATACACAACATGTCTAAAAGACAAGCTACCATCAGTATTTATCAGGTGTAACTAAAACACAACATGTCCGGTGTAACTAATACACACCATGTCTAACAGACGAGATACCGTCAGTATTTATCAGGTGTAACTAACACACACCATGTCTAACAGACAGGCTACCGTCAGTATTTATCAGGTGTAACTAATCCACACCATGTCTAACAGACAATACACAACATGTCTAACAGACAAGATACATCAGCATTTATCAGGTGTATCTATAATTCACACTATGTCTAACAGACAAGCTACCGTCAGTATTTATCAGGGGTAACTAATACACACCATGGCTAACCGACGAGCTACCGTCAGTATTTATCAATTGTAACTAATACACACCATGTCTAACCGACAAGCTACCATCAGTATTTATCAGGTGTAACTAAAACACACCATGTCTAACAGACAAGCTACCGTCAGTATTTATCAGGAGTAACTAATACACACCATGTCTAACAGACCAGCTACCATCAGTATTTATCAGGTGTAACTAATACACGCCATGTCTAACCGACGAGCTACCATCAGTATTTATTAGGTGTAACTAAAACACAACATGTCTAACAGACGAGCTACCGTCAGCATTTATCAGGTGTACCTAATACACAACATGTCTAACAGACAAGCTGCCGTCAGCATTTATCAGGTGTAACTAATACACACCATGTCTAACCGACGAGCTACCGTCAGTATTTATCAATTGTAACTAATACACACTATGTCTAACCGACGAGCTACCGTCAGTATTTATCAGGTGTAACTAATAAACAACATGTCTAACAGACAAGCTACCGTCAGTACTTATCAGGTGTAACTAATACACAACATGTCATCATATAATTCTGGTACAAGTGATGTTAATACCTGGATAGGTGTAACTAATACACAACATGTCTAACTGACAAGCTACCGTCAGTATTTATCAGGTGTGACTAATACACACCATGTCTAACCGACGAGCTACAATCAGTATTTATCAGGTGTAACTAATACACCCCATGTCTAACCGACGAGCTACCATCAGCATTTATCAATTGTAACTAATACACACCATGTCTAACCGACAAGCTACCGTCAGTATTTATCAGGTGTGACTAATACACACCATGTCTAACCGACGAGCTACCATCAGTATTTCTCAATTGTAACTAATACACACCATGTCTAACAGACGAGATACCGTCAGTATTTATCAGGTGTAACTAACACACAACATGTCTAACAGACGAGCTACCGTCAGTATTTATCAATTGTAACTAATACACACCATGTCTAACAGACGAGATACCGTCAGTATTTATCAGGTGTAACTAACACACACCATGTCTAACAGACAGGCTACCGTCAGTATTTATCAGGTGTAACTAATCCACAACATGTCTAACAGACAAGCTACCGTCAGCATTTATCAGGTTTAACTAATACACAACATGTCTAACCGACGAGCTACCATCAGAATTTATCAGGTGTAACTAAAACACAACATGTCTAACAGACGAGCTACCGTCAGCATTTACCAGGTGTAACTAATACACAACATGTCTAAAAGACAAGCTACCATCAGTATTTATCAGGTGTAACTAAAACACAACATGTCCGGTGTAACTAATACACACCATGTCTAACAGACGAGATACCGTCAGTATTTATCAGGTGTAACTAATCCACAACATGTCTAACAGACAAGCTACCGTCATTATTTATCAGGTGTAACTAATACACAACATGTTTAACAGACAAGCTACCGTCAGTATTTATCAGGTGTGACTAATACACACCATGTCTAACCGACGAGCTACAATCAGTATTTATCAGGTGTAACTAATACACACCGTGTCTAACCGACGAGCTACCGTCAGTATTTATCAGGTGTAACTAATCCACAACATGTCTAACAGACAAGCTACCGTCATTATTTATCAGGTGTAACTAATACACAACATGTGTAACAGACGAGCTACCATCAGTATTTATCAGGTGTAACTAATCCACACCATGTCTAACAGACAATACACAACATGTCTAACAGACAAGATACATCAGCATTTATCAGGTGTAACTAATACACACCATGTCTAACTGACAAGCTACCATCAGTATTTATCAGGTGTAACTAATACACCCCATGTCTAACCGACGAGCTACCATCAGCATTTATCAATTGTAACTAATACACACCATGTCTAACCGACAAGCTACCATCAGTATTTATCAGGTGTAACTAATATACAACATGTCTAACAGACAAGCTACCGTCATTATTTATCAGGTGTAACTAATACACAACATGTTTAACAGACAAGCTACCGTCAGTATTTATCAGGTGTAACTAATACACAACATGTCTAACCGACGAGCTACCATCAGTATTTATCAGGTGTAACTAAAACACAACATGTCTAACAGACGAGCTACCGTCAGCATTTATCAGGTGTAACTAATACACAACATGTCTAACAGACAAGCTACCGTCAGTATTTATCAGGTGTAACTAATACACAACATGTCAACATATAATTCTGGTACAAGTGATGTTAATACCTGGATATACATTTTATTATCATTAAGTCTTAGCGGTCCATTAACACAATAAGGCCATTTCGAATCACATGCAAGTAAAACATACAAACTTCAGTGGTGCAAAAAACAGCAAAGATAGCACAAAAGATGCTGAAAATGGAAGTTTATATTGTAATAGAAAAATATAGTATTTTTTATCTTTTCAATGAATTTGCATTCAATATTTGTGTCTGACAATGTACATATAAGGGTCAGGGATTAATCTGGTGATATGGGGGATAAATTCTGGGTCGAAATTTGGAAAAGATTCGTCAAAACAAGGAAAATTAGGAATTAAAAAAAAATGAATTTGTGAAATGGAATGCATTATTCATTCCATCACTTTCAAAATTTATAAATCACTATACTTTATGCAATTGATAAAGTTTCAAAAAAGGAGAAATTTCAAAAATTTTGAATTAATCTGGCCAAATTGGGGGGAAATGGGGAGTGATGAGCTGTGAGAGTAGAGTAGTCTTACCTTACATATGGGTACAATAGCCACAGAGAACGTGTGTTTGTATGTAAACGTATTGTTGTGGGGGTCATGGGTCACAAGTTCCTGTGCAATGTTGTATCTGAAAGACAAGGGAAACAACTCTGTTTATATCACAATTTAGTTACTTTTCGAATTCTATATCTTACATTAGAAGTAGATGTAAAAATCTATTAACAATTCTTTGAAATCTTTTTGGAACATTTTAACTTTCAACCAATCCAAAATACAAGCAACTTAGTTAAGTGGCTTGTAAGTATAAATTATAGAAGCACTATTGATAAATTTCCATACATATGTCTTTTAAAACACCAGATAGTTTATTCTTTCATTTAAGCTTCAAATATCCTGTTTCCAATTAAGAGAAACTCCTATATCATGTTGAGTTCAGTCATTATTATTGTGACAACTTACTTGCAGGGAACAACTGTTTCTAGAAAATCCACCAACTTCCTAGCATCGTTTTTATGAGCGTAATAAAAGTCCAGCCCATCTACAATTTACAACAGATATGTCTTAATTACAATTTGACAAAGAAAAACAATGATTTGTTTTTCGTGGTTCTTATGCTTTCTTCGTGAACACATACATGTTTTCCCTGTGACAGGGAGTCAGTTATAACTGAAGCAAACAAATCATAGAATTTATGTCCCTGTCTTGCTGAACATGTTTTAGATGATGTCTATTGTAACCTCATTAGTTCATTCACAATCAAGCCCAGTCTGACACAGATCACATACACAATCAAGATCAGTCTGACACAGATCACATACACAATCAAGCTCAGTCTGACACAGATCATATACACAATCAAGGTCAGTCTGACACAAATCACATTCACAATCAAGCTCAGTCTGACACAGATCACATTCACAATCAAGCTCACTCTGACACAGATCACATACACAATCAAGCTCAGTCTGACACAGATGACATTCACAATCAAGCTCAGTCTGATACAGATCACATTCACAATCAAGCTCAGTCTGACACAGGTCACATACACAATCAAGCTCAGTCTGACACAAATCACATACACAATCAAGCTCAGTCTGACACAAATCACATTCACAATCAAGCTCAGTCTGACACAGATCACATACACAATCAAGCTAAGTCTGACACAAATCACATACACAATCAAGCTCAGTCTGACACAGATCACATACACAATCAAGCTCAGTCTGACACAGATCACATTCACAATCAAGCTCAGTCTGACAGAGATCACATTCACAATCAAGCTCAGTCTGACACAGATAACATTCACAATCAAGCTCAGTCTGACACAGATCACATTCACAATCAAGCTCACTCTGACACGGATCACATTCACGATCAAGCTCAGTCTGACACAGATCACATTCACAATCAAGCTCAGTCTGACACAGATCACATACACAATCAAGCTCAGTCTGACACAGATCACATTCACAATCAAGCTCATCAGTCTATCACATATCAAAATGTATGTGCATAACAAATTTCATAGAAATTGATCCATAACTAAGGCAGTTATATTGTACAGAAACCAATTTATAAGAGACCAAACATTAAGCCAACCACAACTTTGTTACCTCGTTAAGCATGTGTAAATAAGCATGGATTACACTGAGAATCAAAAAAACTGGCATAAAAATGTAAGCACTGCCATTAGTATCCCTTCCACTATAATCGCATTCTCATTTTTGGCACTGAATGAAATTAAAATAGTTTCCTTTTCCTTGGACGAGGGGATGAATGTGGTATTTGGTCGAGGTAGTGAATGTGGTATATGGACGAGGGGATGAATGTGGTATTTGGTCGAGGTAGTGAATGTGGTATATGGACGAGGGGGTGAATGTGGTATATGGACGAGGGGATGAATGTGGTATATGGACGAGGGGGTGAATGTGGTATATGGACGAGGGGATGAATGTGGTATATGGACGAGGGGGTGAATGTGGTATATGGACGAGGGGATGAATGTGGTATATGGACGAGGGGGTGAATGTGGTATATGGACGAGGGGATGAATGTGGTATATGGACGAGGGGGTGAATGTGGTATATGGACGAGGGGATGAATGTGGTATATGGACGAGGGGGTGAATGTGGTATATGGACGAGGGGGTGAATGTGGTATATGGACGAGGGGATGAATGTGGTATATGGACGAGGGGGTGAATGTGGTATATGGACGAGGGGGTGAATGTGGTATATGGACGAGGGGGTGAATGTGGTATATGGACGAGGGGGTGAATGTGGTATATGGACGAGGGGGTGAATGTGGTATATGGACGAGGGGGTGAATGTGGTATATGGACGAGGGGATGAATGTGGTATATGGACGAGGGGGTGAAAAATAAATAACATCTGTTAATTAAGCTCCAGCACCAAAAGTATGTTAGGGTTACAGAAAGGGCGAGTCCTGCACCCCACCACACCCCAACCCCAGTTTCTACTCGAGCTTTAATGCAGGCATCATGGACATTTTAATCACTGAGTATGTATTTTTCTGTCTGCTTACATATTTCCTGAACTTACCGTAAAGTGGTTTGATATTGACTGTATGAGCATGTGCCTTGTGTTTCAGAATGAGCTGCTCCAGGTAGTAAAATGTCTTCTTATGGTCTGTCTACAAAGTGAAAATGTATCAAGAATATATATATATATCAAATAAAGAATAAAACGTAACAAGAATATATATATATCAAATAAAGAATAAAACGTAACAAGAATATATATATAAAATAAATAGCAGTAGCTGTACCACGGCCCTTAACCCCAATCACAGCTACGATACCTTCTGACGTAGCTGTACCACGGCCCTTAACCCCAATCACAGGTACAATACATTCTGACGTAGGTGTAATATGGCCCTTAAACCCAATCACAGGTACAATACCTTCTGACGTAGCTGTATCACGGCCCTTAACCCCAATCACAGGTACAATACATTCTGACGTAGGTGTACCACGGCCCTTAACCCCAATTACAGGTAAGATACCTTCTGACGTAGCTGTACCACGGCCCTTAACCCCAATCACAGGTACGATACATTCTGATGCAGCTGTACCACGGCCTTTAACCTCAATCACAGGTAAGATACCTTCTGACGTAGCTGTACCACGGCCCTTAACCCCAATTACAGGTACAATACCTTCTGATGTAGCTGTACCATGGCCCTTAACCCCAATCACAGGTACAATACCTTCTGATGTAGCTGTACCA